TTTTTTTTTTTTTTTTTTTTTTTTTTGAGCTAGGCTTCCTTTGGTTTACTTTACCTTTCTGGTAGAGGAGAGTCCCTTTTTCACCAGGTCTACTATTTGCCTCACTCTTATCTCTAATCAGAGCTTCCAGGAATCCTGCCCAGTGAGTTAAAGGAATGAGGTTCAGAAAGGGGCAGGGAGTTGCTGCAGCCACACAGCACATCCTCAGCCTCTCTGTCCTGACTTCTCTGTCCTGTTCCCTGTCCAGTCTCACCATGGCCTTCTGGACACAGCTGATGTTGCTGCTTTGGAAGAATTTCACATATCGCCGGAGACAGCCTGTAATGCCAGGCCAGGGCAGGGCAGAGTGGGTCAGCATCCCCCTCCACTGTACCCTACTATCTCCTGCCTGTTCTTCCCTCTAGATCCAGCTTTTGGTCGAACTGTTATGGCCACTCTTTCTCTTCTTCATCCTGGTGATTGTGCGCCACTTCCATCCTCCACCGGAGCACCATGAATGTAAGCCCCCCTTCCCCAGGGAGCAGACACTTTGTTTGTATAGGGGGAGGCAGATGGGCCAACCAGTACACAAGGACTCTGAGTACACAGTGCTGAGACCCAGCTCTCTGTCGCTGGAGGTATGCAATGAGTGGGAGAATGGTCAGATTATGGGGCTCTAGCAGAGACCGAAAAGCCTCAGTGCCAGGCATCTCTCCACAGGCCACTTCCCCAACAAGCCTCTGCCATCTGCGGGCATCGTGCCCTGGCTTCAGGGCCTCATCTGCAATGTGAATAACACCTGCTTCCCACATCCAACGCTTGGAGAGGAACCCCAGCTCCTAAACAACTTCAACCACTCTCTGTGAGCCAAAGGCAGTGGGTGCAGTGTTGCAGGCTTGGGTGTAGCAGTGCCTGCTGAAACTCTGCTGCCTGTCCTCCCTCTGTTACCAGGGTCTCCCGACTCCTAGCTGATGCCCATGCTGTGCTAGGGGGCCCCAGTGTCCACAGAACACTGGCTGACCTGAGGAAACTGATGCCCACATTGAGGGCTACACACAGCACAGGTGAGAAGGCTATAGTCCTCTAACCAGGTTTGGACTCTCTGTGCTTTGAAATGTGCATGGGAGGGGATGGAGTGTCTCAGGCCAAGGTGGGGTTTCTAACTTTGTGCTTTCCTGCATTCCTCCCCCAGCCTGGCCTCAACAGAGCGACCAGGCACAGGAGCAACCTTCACTACCCATGGAGTTGCTGGTGTCACTGTTGCAAGAGGTAAGGTGGGGTGGAACAAGTGTGACACTGGGATGCTGCTCCCTAGAGGTCCTGGCACTCTCCTGTCCTGGGCTAGCTGCCTCTCTCCTGAGGCCTCTGGTTCTAGCTGCTTAGGCTTTGATTGGACTGTCCTTGCAGCTCTCTGTGCCTGGACAGCATGCATATGGCCTGGTGATGAAGACTCCAGTCCATAGCCAGGTGTAGTAGCTC